AATCTCACTGCAGGGAACAATTGATCGAGAGGAACATAGGACACTTCTCTTAGCTGATTTTAAACTAAACACAAAGGGCACTTCATTTTAAATAATAAGCTGTAACATTCTGGCAGCTTCACATGAGAAGCCCTTAAGGAAAATAGAAAGAGAAAAACAGAGAAAAATAGAAGGGAAAGAGTTAACTAAGGAAGAAGACAGGAAACAGAGGAAGGATGTGAGTGATGTCTGGGCGAAGTAGCTAGTATTTTCTTTTGCCCCAGATATTGTTCTAAATGATTCATACATAGTAAGTCTTTTAGTCATTCTAACATCTTGCAAAGCCTGGGTTATTACCTTCTCTGTAGAAGTATGTCACAAAGAGTTTAAATCACCCAGTGCAATAGCGCTAGGGTGTGGAAGAGCTGGGATTTGAACCCAAGAAATTAGGCTGTGGAGTCTATTCCCTCAATGGCAGGTGTGGCTGAGAGATTCCTTTCAGAACCCACTACAACTCCCACTTTGATTCTAGCTTCTAGCTCCGGATTCCCATTGCCCATCACCCTGTACATGGACACTTTGTGAAGCATTGCTGAATGGCCAACTCGGGTAGCCACCTCTCACCCAGAGGTCACCCTGCCTAACCCCTTTGACCTGTGGGACTTTGCACCCTGTTCTCAGTTGGATTGACACTCTTGATGACCCAAGCTCCAGACGCCTTGTTGTGGATTCCTCATTCCCCTGACCATGTCACATGTGGAAAGCAACACAGACCTATTTCTGTAGCTCACCCCCCTCCAGGTTTATTGATCGTTTCTTTGTTTTATTTTCTCTGAGCTGAAAAGTCCCATGCAAGATATAGCAAGAGAAACGTGCCTAAACTTTCGCATCAACATCCAGATTTTCAACAGAAACTTATAGGAGTGAACATAGAAAAATCCAGTGAAATCAAGTTATCAGTGAGGATGTGCCTGGGTGACGTGGAGGCTGATGCTGGTTACTCTCAGACTTCAGATCTCAACACAGTTGAAAACTGGGAGTTTGGACTAAACCAGGAAACTCTCTGGGACTTAAGATCTATCCTTATTAGCAGTGACTTTTGCAGAAGGAAATAGTAGTACTTGATAATTTCTTGAGTCAGTGTATGAGTATTTCCATCATCCTGACATCCTGACAAAGCCAGATGATGCTAGAAATTTGTCTTGTAGACAACAGGACTCCAAGCAGATCTCCTTCCAAAGCTTGATGGGGGATCTTTGTCTCTCATTTGCAAAGGGCACAGCAGGGAAAGCCTGAGATTTGGGGTAAGTCTGTTGTAGCAGAAGTGAGTATTTTGTTGGTGCATCCACAGTTCACAGCTGGTGGGAGTGTTGGGAGCTGCGGGGCTCAAGCTGGGTGTCATTTAAGGATTTACACTTAGCAAAGAGGCTCACTCAGGGTATATGTTCATCCAAGGGACACATTTATCCAATATCCACTAGTTGGTCTTCAGGAATGGGGAATAAAAAGGTCACAAGTCAAGACAACTCTGAAAGATCATCTCAGGTCCACAGCTCCCAGAGACTCAGGGCCCGAATCAGGGAATAATGGGTGAAGCATTTGTCTTAGGTACCAAATCGAAAGGGGGCATGACAAGTCTCAGTAAGCAGGATGGTTAAAATTATAATGGAATTCTCTTAAAACAATGCAAAAAATCCATGATAAAATATTGAAGTGTTGTATAAAGACAGACACTAACAGTGAAGAGGGTAAGCTTAGTATGTTCTACAAATACAGCATTGGGCTTTTGTCTTTATAATATTTAAAATGTGGGGATTTTTTAGCAAAACTTTTTAGATCAAATACTTTTTGGTGGTTCATTAAAATATGCATTTTGATTGCAAAGTTTCTTAGCATTCCTTAAATTTTGGCCCTAAGCAAATGCCTCTTCATTCTAGGTTCTACAAGGCTTCTACTGATAGCACATCACAGTTGAATTTCTCCAGCTCTATCTTGCTTTCTTTGCTGTTTCATAAGATATTCCCTAGTGATTCCTAATAAGACTCGTACCCAACACAATATCAAAATCTTCCTGGCAAATGACAACAAAGGGAAACACTTGTGGGACTTAAGGGAGTTTGTGGAGTACTCAAATTTGAATGAAAAGCTCAGTCCAGCACCTCACTGAACAGGTGATCCTGGGCAAGACACCTAGCTTCTAAGTCTGTTTTTCCCCCCTGTAAAATGACATCAGTGTTATGTCTCATCACATCCTGGGCTGCTGTGGTGAGCTCCCCCAGGTAAAGAACTCAGATTAGTGACTAGCAGGTAACAGGTGTTCAGGAAATATTGTCATCCTTTCTTGTTTCCGTCTCCCCTTCCTGAACCCCCAAACAGGTTGAGGAGAGAGCACCTCTGGTTGTCATGACCACACAGGAAGGCCTGAGAAAAAGGACCAGAACCTCTTTCCTTAGTTTTGCTGAATTAGCATAGGTTCAGCCTCTTCCAGCTAAATCAACAGGCTTTATCCTTTGGCTACTGATAATCAGCCAACCTCTTCCTGGTGAGACCTGTACTGTGTGAGGTCTTCCCACTCAACTGTCTCTAAACATCTGTGATTAGGGCCAATTAGGGGCAGGGAAGGGTGCCTGCCAGTCCTCTTCAGGATAAAGAGGAAGTCCTGAGGTGCCATTATCACTAACAAGACACCATCTGTCACCCTAGGTCTCAGGAATACAAGGCTCATGCAAACGCAATATCAGTCTAGCTAACTTTATCTGTGTTCCCCAAATGGTAACACTGTTTGTATCCTACTGATAGGGGAATCAGGCACTGATTTCTCAATGTCCAGGCAAGAATTTTTAAATTGTATGAAGCTAAAATAGCCAATATGGAATGAGAAGGAATCAGAAAAATCAAATAGAGGTTAAAGCCCTTCCTTCATTAAGACTCACCATTGCAATGAGAAAGAGAGAATAAGCACACATGTAAAAGATACAAGCAAAACACATGCCCGGTAACTTAAGATGGGAATGATCCGTTTTCCCTTACTGCCTGTCAACATTAGGGTTCCTGTAACGCCTTCCCATTAATCTTGTCTCCTGCATCTGCACTTCCCCTACCCAGACAGAAGCAAGTTCTTCACTCCACACTTTCATAGCTTTAAATGCTAGATGTTTTGATTTACTTTAGCTGCCTGTGTCCACGCTATTACATTGTTCATTTTGTGTTTAATAAATGCTTACCCAATGCTCATAAATAAATGGTACGAAAAGATCACTTATCATAAGTAAAGAAAGATTTCCAGACAAGGTGGTTGGATTTTTAAAAATGTTTGTTTTGTTTTGTTTTTTTTAAGAAATGGAGGAACAGGCTCCCCTGAAGTGAAAGTTATAAATAGGAATTCCAGTGGCCACATGAAACCCATCCACACACTTGCTGGGTGTTATGGGTTAGATGTCAAATTCCCCCAAAAAACTGTATCAAGGTGGGATTCTTAGAAGGTGCTTGTGTCATGAGTGCACCATAGCTGACTTGCTGCTAGGAAATACAGATGACTGCAAGAGACGGGTCACTTGAGGCACGACTTGGAAGGGTATATCTATCACCCTGGCTCTTCTTTTCTCTCTCTGCTTCTGGTCACTGTAGGTGAGCCATTTTTCCCTGCCATACCCTTCCAGCAGGCCATTTCTGCCTCGGAGCTAACAGACCATGGCCTGAAAACATGAACCAAAATACACCTCTCCTCCTTAGAACTGTGGTTGTTGGACTTATTGTTTTGTTTTGTTTTATTGTCCCAGTGACAAGAATGACAAAGACACTGGTTGGTATTTTGAAATTAGATTGCCTGCTGCCGCCATATGCATTCTATACTGGGCTTCATTTCTATCGCTTTCTGGCCAATCTCTGCATGTATGATGAGTAGACTTGCAGAGATTTATTTCTCCTCCCTGCAGCCTGTTGTCTACAGCTGCTTGCCTCTGTGAGCTTAGTGGTTTCTGGACTAAACACATCAAGGATTGACTTAAAAGTATATATTTCTCTAATTTCTTTAACCATGTCTATAAACATAGAATAACATCTAATCTTTTAGGATGAAAAGCAGATCTAGGAAGAAAAAGTACACAGCAATTACTAAGTGCCCACCAGATAAAATAACTAGGCTTTATTGTATGTAATCCTCATAACCACCTTAAAATAAATTATTCCCTTTCACCATTTTTCATATAAACAAATTGAGGCTCAAAAGAGTTAATGAACTTACCCAAAGCCACAGAGTTGGTTTCACAACTTGTGTCTAAAACATTCCCCAAGAAGCTGGAGTATTTACAAGTGGGACTTCGGAAGGTGATTAAATTGTGAGGCCTCTGACTTCGTTAGTGAATCATTCTATTGGTGGGTCCATAATTTGATGGCATTTTGGAAGCTATGGAAACTTAAGAGGCGGCGTCTAGTTAAAAGGAATGAGTCATGGGAGTATAACCTGGAAACTAACTCTTGACTCTCCATCCCTCTCCCCTACCTCTCCTGGCTACCACAAGGCAAGAAGAATTCTTCTGCCTTATCTTTCCACCATGATGTTTCTGCTTTATTCCCAAAAACAAGGGATCCAGATGACTACAGACCAAAGTCTCTGCATCTGTGAGTCAAAATAAACCTTTCCTCCAGTAAAATAATTTTCTCGGGTATTTTATCATAGCTACCAAGGGCTAACTCATACAGCTGGAAAGTGCAAGAGAACTCTGACCAAGAACTGAGTACCTACTATATTGTTAATGTTTTCATTCTGTGGAGCTAGGAAGAGCAGCAGGATTCCCACAGGCCGAATTGTGAAGGAGGATGTGAGCCATGTTCTGAGCAGCACACAAGCTTGCATACGAGTAATTCCTTTTTATCTGAAGCAAAGCGGAGAAGTCATGTGCAAATAATCCAAAAATAGTTTCTAATTTTTCTTGGGATAAATATAAATTTTTGGCAAAAGACACCCCTTTCAAAGTGTGTTTTGATTAGAGTTACACGAAAAGGCGTTTTTATTCTCTCAGGCCTTGCCAACTAATAGCCAGAAGGGGACCAAGAGGAGCACCAGCCTGACTCCCCGCTACTTTTCAAGCCAAAGGATTGGGTGCAGTCTGCAGTGCTTCCAGAAAAAGGTACCAGTGTAAAGTGGTGCTGAAGTGCAATGGGATGGCTGGCATGGGCTGACTCTCTGCCATGCTAGAATGCAGAACTGAACCCTCCTCATGCCATCAGTGAGGAAAGTGAGATCAGATTATAAGCATCTTGGTCAAGGCTACATGACAAATTCATAGAAAATGGAGGTGGAAATCTAGATCCCTTAATCTCATCTCCTTTTAATATCAACCTTCCTTTTTATTCCTAGTGTCAGACTACTCCAGACAAAGAGATGTTGGCATATAAGACGAAGTGAAGACCTAAAATAAGAGGGACAGAAAGTGGTGAGTGGAAAACATTTCATTCTAGGCTCAGAGCAATTTCAGTAGAGTGAACAATGGACTCAGGTAGACCTGTGTAACTTTATTCCTATGACTTTACCTCTTCTGGCTTTTCTTCAGTTGAAAAATTCAATTACTGTGAGAACTCATAGTGTTTTTCACAGAAGTATCTGGCAGAGAGTGAAACCTTGGTTAATGCAGATAAGGACTCTCCTGATCCACCCAACCTGGCTTCTATTGAGTGATTTATGGATCAATCACTAGGTGGTTTCCTAGTTGGGTCTCTGTATTAGTTTTCCTAGTTGGGTCTCTGTATTAGTTTTCATGTTACTATATTTAAATACCTCAGATAATTAACTTACAAAGACTAAGGTCACTTTGACTGGTGATTTTGAAGCTTCCAGCCAATGATGAAGTGGCCCCATGCTTTGGGGCTTTAATGGGGCAGACATCAGTGGTAGGAGCTTGGAGAAAAGCAAAACCATCATGAGTAGGAAGCAAATAGACTGGAATCACTTAATCTTCTTCAAGAGCACATCTACAAATAACCCAAGGACCTCCCAGAAGGCCACTCTCTGTGAAGAATTCACCACCTCCCAAATCTGCCACTCTGTAGACCAAATCTTAGAACTTTTAGAGGACAACCAGCATTCAATCCACAGTGTTTTCTAAAGCATCTTTGTTTCAGACTATCCTAGATGGAATTACTCTAATATATTAGCATGCAAAGATGAATGAGATCTATCCTCCCTGGCCCTCAGACTCAAAACCTATACTCTTCTACCCTACAGTCAGATGGTGAAGGCAGAAGCTGTGACCACGGGGCAGGTTTGTGGGGCGGAAAGAAGCAGACAGTGCAGCAACCCTAGGACATCCTCTTCTGGGCCCATGGGTTCAGCTAGAACAGTTGGCCAAAGCTGCCCAGTTCAAAGAGGAGAACCTCTCTGGCTTGTAGAGACAAAACAAGGGGGTACCCATGATTCTATCTGTAAGATGAGACCCAAGAAGTCCTGGCTTTATAGGAGCATGTATCTGGCTTTCATTTATTTGATCTTTGCCGAGACTTAAAAATGATCAAACAGGATGTAGTAAATCCATTCTAGAGATAAGGACATGGAGGATCTAGGGAGTAAAATAACTCTAAGTTTAGATAACATCAAGATAGAGCTGCTATTTGGGTCTGTTTTGTTGTAAGGGACTGTTAATAATCTTTGTACCTGCTGAAGAACAGAGGCAGCGACTCATTCATCTCTGTGGTTCAGTGTCTGGCAAACTACAGAGGATCAGTATTTGTTAAAGGAATGACTTTCCTACCCTTGATGCCGCCATGGCTGTGTTTGAATAAATCCAGCCCTGTGAATCACTTCGTTATCTCACAGCGTGACTTCAGAAAAACTCATCATCACAGACTTAGTCAAATGTAAGTCAGTGAAACAAACATTTATTTAGCCATATTAAAGGCAGTCTTTTAGTAGAAATGTTCTTGCCCAACTGTCATTCACCAACCATCTAAAAATCAATTGTTTTCCCAGTGTTCAATGTAATTGAAGAGGCAGCCCTGAACTGCAGTCCTTCACAAGACATAGGAACAGCACTGCTCTGGGTCTTTCTTCTTGTCGCTGCTGCTGCTGTTGCTGTTGCTTAGTGAGATAAACTCGGCATTGTCAAGAGGGAGCAGAGTGAAGAGAAGAATCAACTGAGATGGCTTGGGAATTAGAGATGCAACATTGAGAATTTTGTTTGCAAACAGCCTTAAAGTCATGGTATCATGCTCCATAAGTTTTTGCATTTACGAAAGTGATCCTGTAAAGAAAATGATGAGGTATCAGAAAATATATATTAGCATAAAAAATGGCAGACACTTAGTTGGTCACTATGGAGCACACCTGTGATTCTAGTACTTTGGGGAAATAAAGTGGGAAAATCATAATTTGAGCCCTGCTTAGGCAACTTAGCAAGACCCTGTCTCAAAATAAAAAATGTAAGGAATGTAGCACAGAGCAAAGTTCCCAAGTTCAAACCCAAGTATCATACAGAGAGAGAGAGATACACTTTGAATGCAATAAATGTAGTATAGAACATATGGATTCGATTCGATTCAAATGGAAAACTTTAATTACAGTGCAAGTTCAAGAAGTCTTCTCATAACTTATAGTACAACAAACAAAATATGATAAAGTATAAAAAGATAAAAACAGAGAGATCGATTCAGAAAATGTATCAATTATATACAACAAGATTTCCTGAGAGATCAGAATGTTCAAAAAATAATCAAAAACACAGAAATTTTTCCTGAATTTAAAAAAATTGGAATCTTCAGTTTGAAAGGATTCACCAAGAATTGCATGATAAATAAACTGAGAAAAATATTATATATATCCTCTCACAAACCTGATATATATATATACATTTATATATGTATTTATATACATATAAATACATATATATGTGTGTGTGTGTGTGTGTGTGTGTGTGTGTGTATCTCAGGTCTTTGGGGTCTATAACTCTTTATTTATTTTTATTTTTAAAAAAGTAAAACAGAAAAGATAGAAATGATACAGGATTTTTTAAAAAGCAGGAAATTAACACTAATTAATATATTGCATATCGTTATCTTAGAGGTAGGGCTCAGAGTACAAGGTTTAGGCACAAAAAATAAGATCAAAAAAGAAAGCTCAAGAATTCAGACATTTTGAAAATTTAGCCAAAGAGAGAGAGAGACAGAGAGAGAGATAGAGAAAGACAGAGAGAGAGAGAGAGAGTGACAGACAGAAAGAAGGGGGGGGAAATTCCACATCACATTTCTCTATAACAATAAAAATCTGAGAAATAAATTCATTAATTTTAGATGAAAAAGCTCTTGTAACTAAGGAAGATCATTTACATATGGAAAAAAGTTAAACCTACTCCAGTATAACTATGAAATAAAACAGAGAAAGGGCTTTCATAGCAACAATTAAATGAATAATGTCTAAAACGATAATGCAGACAAAGTATAAATAAACTGTGGTGAACAATAAGAACAGTAATACTTGGACTAAGAGTTAAGTTTCATATTTTAAAAAATTACTTTGAAATGATGTAAACACAAGAACAATTCTGGTTAAAAATACTGTATAAAAATTAATGCTAATTAATATTAATACTTAATAAAAATTTTAAGCCTGATTTTTTTTCTTCTGGATTTAATTTTCTTGACCATTTCAACCAAAAGCTTAACTTAAATCATTAGCAAATTTCTTGAAATTTTCTCTCATATCTCACCTTTACTCTTTAGTCTCACATTTAACTACCTGGGCTTGTCCTTCATTACACTTCTGCTAAATTACAAAGATAATTTCCTGACCGCTTGCTCTCTCTCCAACTGTACACACTTCAACCTACCCTGAACAGATTAATCTTAAAATACTATTTTTAATATGTCACTGGTTGGCTAGAAACATATATACAAGATGAAATCCAAACTTGACAGCTTGTTATTTTAATCCTCATGAAATCTGCTATGATCCTGCCTTTATTTGCAGGCTTACATTGCCCTGCTTCTCCAGACAAGCTCTCCATTCCAATAGTATCTGTCTGCTTAACAACCCTGAACATATTCTAATCTAGTCCGTGCCTTTCTCTGTTCACAAGGGGAAATTCCGACCACCTAGTTCCATCCCTACCACCTCTGCTTCAAACACCAGTTCCAACATCACATTCCTTTCTCCCCTTTAAGTGTACTGCAGTCCACAAAGAAGCTTCCTCCTCCAAATACACAAAGGACTAGTGCTGTATACCATACTTCATAGACAAATCTTACTCTGTATCACTCACCATATATCATCAAATCTAACACTATCAACTTCAGCTTAAACCATGATTCTGTGTAATGCTGGGAAAGAAGATTTTCCAGTTATGCTGTGACATTCCATTGATTTTGAGAAGCACTACATTTTCACTGACAGTAAAAGATGTAACAGTGTGCAAGTTGGTTTCATAAGCTGGAGCTAGAGCGGGAGTGTGACCCATTCTTCTGCCCATTCGTGATTATTTATTGCCTGCCATGAGCTCAGCACCATGCAGATGCCATGCGTAGACAGTCCTGATAAGGCCCTTTCCTCCCTTGTGCCCTGTTTAACACACACACCTCTTACCAGTCCTGCCCTCCTACTTTGGACTGTAGGGTCTTCAAGGGCAAAAATTATGTGCTGTGGTTTATGCCCCACAGTGTGTAGCATGTCATCATCCTGCATGGACCGGCTGCCCTAAATAATCAACAAGTGGGTAAGGAACAGAAAATATGTGCATGTGGCATAATACATCATTCTGTTCTACATCCAAGCACAATATATGATCCATTCATGCCAGTTAGATTAGCAGCCACTCCACACCATGAATGCTTTCACACAATTCCAGACAACAAGGAAGGAGAAAATGATTTGCTAATTGTGAGATGCAGCAGTCCTATTACATGGAGAAGACTGGACTTTGCAGTTGTCTCCAAGTGAAGCAAATGGACACAGAAGACTGTAATTCATGCACTATTCCCACTAATTTATGAAATCACTTTCTTCCAAATTAATTACAATAACTACTCAGTAGGTCTTTGCCATTGGTTGATTTGAAATCTTTAGATTTTATTATTTACGAATCTGGAATTAATGAGATCCAGAAATGTGCTCTTCATGCAGAGACTTCCATCCCCTAAAAGGTTGACAATCTGAAAGGAGCCACCAAGACAGAAGGGACCATAGGATGCCTCCCAGTAGCATACCTTTGTGGCTTCCTCTTCAACAGTACTTAGGAATTGGGACACTCTTGAGATTATGGGATACAGCCCTTGAGAACACCAAGAGCTTCACACTCCAGCAACTGTCCCCTCAGAACACTAAGGACCCAAGGATATGAGCTTTCATCAACAGACGCTTCTCTAAAAAGTCATCCCCTTTGAACCCTGTGGAGAAGAACTGTGTATAGAGAAAATTTCTTAGGCTTCATGGATGCATCTTCATTCAATGCACAAACTTCAAAAAAGATCTGAAATGTGTTAGGCTCAATGAACTATCTGGCTTTTGAGTTACTGTACTTAGCTATTGGGTTTGAACACCACTAGAACCAGTCTTTGTGGGTATGCAAATATTTTTATCTTGCCAATTTTTGCATGTTATGCCAGTTTTCTTAGTGGAATTTTAATTCTCTGTAGTAACGAAATAACCATTGCACTTCCCTGATTTCTTCCCACAATTTAAGTTGTATGATATGATGCTGTCAGCTGTGTTTTCATGTTCATACATCTTGCTGAGAAGAAAGCTCAGATTTAATTTTATTCCACACAAGACTCACTGAAGGTTTCAGGGCATCTATACTTCAGGATTTTTAGTAGACATCTGCAGCACAGCTAAGGTCTGAAAACTTTTCTTCCACAAGTGGTTTGCAGACTGATCAACAGCTTGCTAGTATGTCGATAAACTGAAAATTTCCCTAATGAGTCAGACCTTGAGTTAAGTGTGTTACAAATGTCTTTGTCTCATTAGAGTCAATTCTGGTGGTGGAGAGACCTAACATCAGATTTGATATATAATGAGGACTAATTACTCACAGAAAGCGCCTTCCAAGTATCATGAAACGGCAGAAGGGCTGGGAGCATTTTACAGATGCGACTCACAACACAGATAATAAAGTAGGCTCAAAGAGATTAGGAGAAATACTTAAATTCAAACATAAAAAAATAAAGGTCTCCCAAGTTCAGGTCTCTTGATGGTAATCCAACAAATTTGGCCAGGTTAAGCTTATGGGAGACAGAAATACTCTGGACTAGATGGAATTTCAGACTAAACCCTCCTACATCCAGTGTAGAGTTTCAGAAGCATCAGCCGTATCTTGCACCCCCAAACACAAAATTCAAGGAACCATGTCAAAGAGTTCAAACTGAGTCGAACATCAAGGTTTCAAGCATGAATGATACCAAAGAAACTTCTAAGCAAACCAAATTAGCAAGGGAAAGCTAGAAAACATCTCATGCTCCCAAGGGTTCCATTTAACCCTGTGCTCTTGTTTGTGGCTAAATCCTGACCAAAGAGCTCCAGATGGGATAGATAGAGTGTCTGGGCCTGCCATGGGGCCCTGTTATGATGAAAAGTTGGCCTCCAGCCACGTTGGGCCTTGACTCTGTCCTTCTGCACGTCTCTAGCCCACTTCAGCCGGCTGAATTATTTAAATGTTGTACATTACTAGTTAATAGACACAACATATTGAAAGTTTTACAATCAAATATTTATGCTGCTAGAAAACATTTTTGCATTATCTTTAAACAGCCATGTCATCTATTTATTTTCATTCTCTGATCTTTCTGTTTTGTATCAGAATTGGAGAATTTAGCCTATTTATCCAGAAATAAATATTATGGTAAAAACACAGGGCTGCTCAAAAGCAGACTTAGGAAAATGCAGAAGTACTTTTTGTTAGTGTCAATTGCACAACAGCCACTGTAGGATAATAGAAATTACTCTGGTACACTTGGATTGTGGACATTAAATACTTCTTGGCTAGCAATGTTTCTACCTGCCTGACCCCCTGTTGAGCAGCTCAGTTATTCTTTCCAATCATCTCCTCTCCAGCAATGGACAAAGTAGTGACATTGCAACTCATTCCAATCAGGGAAATTCTTTTATTTCTGAACCTAGACCCACAAGTAAGAGCTCACATCTGATAGGCTGAATCATCCTATTGGCTGCTAACTGTCTCCAAGGCTTCTTCTTGAGGTCTTTCTTTCTCCCAGATATCCCCAACTTCTGAATGCTTCTCCCAAACTCTGTTCAGTAGAGCTGTGTTACTTGCCCTCAGGAGGCAGTCATCATGCCACAGGAAACTTATCTCCACCCTAGAAAGCATCAATCCATGTCTATCCACTGATTAAGGAGGAGGACTCACCTTACACATCCGGTCTTGGTCTCTAAATCATTTCTAAATCATTTCCTCTCTCTCTCTCTCAGAACTTGTGTCAGACATCAGTATTGCTTCTGCTGTGTCACCAGGTGTAGAATCAATTCCTATTAAAGAACACTGAAGCTATTTTTCAGCTATATCAATGTTTTTTAGAGGATTAGGCTACATTAAGCTGATGAGCAGCTCTATGACTGGTGTCATGATACCAATCTAAGACTCAAGACACAGGGAAGGGACCAGAACTTCAGAAGACCGGAAAGCACTATCTTCATGATGAGCTCTGATTCTCAGAATCTCTGACCACGTGAAAAATGGGCAAATGAAGGTGATCAAGTGATTTTAATGAAAGCAATAATTGCAGTATACAGGTAGGGCAGGATACCACGAAGCATAGCACAGTGTTCACAGGGTTAGAACCTCAGGACAACCTGATCACTCCCAGCTCAGCAGGGAGAAGAGAGAAGGGGTACCAGGGGGTGCAGGTAATGAATGATGAAGAACGTGGTTGGGGTGAAGACCCTAGGGAACAATCCCCAGATCTCACTTTGTACCTCTCTCCATTCCCTGCCCTGGGTCCCCGTTAGTTGGATACACCCAGAAGTCAAGGGACAAAGGAGCCTCTTAATGTTGCTCCTAATAGTCATTCTCCCTTGGGAGCCCCCAGGGTGAATTCCAGCACTGAAGGAGAAGGAGAAAGTTGGGGAGGAGACAGGAGATGCTGTCAGAAGATAACCAGAAGAGCCGTGATGAGGTATATGATTTTATTGTAAGAACACAGAGCAGGCACAAGTGAGTCCTGATGGAAGGAACATAGTTTTGAACTCATTCATGTTCAAAACATCATTCTGGCTCTTATAGGGAGAATAGACTTTGGAAAGGCGAGGCCAGAGGTCAGGAGATGGCTGGGAAGTGATTACATCCTACTAGTAACAAACATGTGCTCATCTATATGGTCTAGCTTAGCGGCCAAAGATAAAACGACATAAATGGATTTCGGATGCGCATGAGAAAAAAATTAAATAAAATTCTACCCCTGCCGTGAGTTAAATGAAATGCTAGTGGGAAAAAGAATGTGTGTACACCATCCATGTTGCAAATTTGGAGCCTTGGTGCCAGATCCAATTAGTGCTGATTTTACAGTGAAATATTCACTGAGCTAAGTGTATCAGCTCAATCCATTTTTTAAGGAGAGAGAAAATAAAAGAAATTTCCAAGCCTGGCATGTGGAAAAATGA